AATGAAATGGCAGATACTAATCAATTTATTGAAGACTTAGGTGCAGCATCTGACGAACCTCTTGCTGCTTCTTTGGCAGATGCTTTGAATGATTTTTGTGACTTAAATATTAAAAGAAGAAATACCAACTGAAGGTATTTTAAATGAGAATGATATTATTAAGTTGATTCAAGAGGAAATGAATGGAGAAAAGGATAATTTGGATGATTCTGAAGATGAGCTGGTATTAGTTTCTTTAGATGATGCAATAAAGTCTTTACAGACTTGGGTGACTTTCTTTGAACAGCAGGAAATGGATGAATTTAAAAACGAAGATGTACGCATTTTTAAAAAGTATCTTAAAACAGTTCATGAACTTAAAATACAAACTAAAAAGCAAGTTCAAATAACCAATTTTTTTAGTTATGCTGTTCTAAATAATAGTTAACAAAATGATAATTAATAAACAATAAATGAATTTTATAATCACTATTACTATTACCACTCTATTGTTTCATATTTTTATTTTATTAAGTTTTATAATACAAAACGTAAAATCCTCTATATAATCACTGCACGTTATTTTAATTATGGTGGTGATTGTATAGAGGTTTTATAATTAGTTACACCTCTATACAATCACCACTTTGAGGTGCAACGGACTTGGTGGTCTGACTGTATTATGGGACCTACACAATAGAACATCAATACAGACATAAATTCCAAGCTACTGCATTGACACCCTATCAACTTCGTATTAACAACAACAGGAAAAGATTGATATACGGATCACCCACTACATCCCCGCCTAATCCAACAATTCTCACTAATCCTCAAACCTCAAACGACTAACCATTGGGACCAGACCATCGTGTGCATTTAGAGGGGGTGTGCATTTAGAGGAAATGGTAATTCGTGTAACACCATTAACTATAATAGGGACGATATTAATATTAATATTAATATTAATATATTTATTTATTATTGATTAAAATATTGATTTATGGTTGTTTGTCTCATTTGACTACTTCTCTTACTATTAACAAATCTTTCAAGACTATTTAATAATCTTATCTGCTCACTTGTATCTTCTTGTTGTAACAAAAACAATCGTACATTTTCCAAGCTCTTTAATGCACTACTGGCACTTACAGTGGAATAGAAATTCATTACCTTAGTGCTGTAGTGGTCATCGCTTATATGCGTGCAACACAAAATACAAGCTTTAAATTTCCATTATAAATAGTAATAATATGATTGGTCAATACTGATATTAATCACATGTGTGCATTTAGGGAACATTTATCACTAAGTCCCAAGCTCAAACCGTGCATTTAGGGAGGGTGTGCATTTTCTCTGTATACTAAACTTAAACCATTCTTCTCTTATTTCAGGGGTCCTCAAATGGAAGGGAACCATACATGCTACTCCTTCTGTTGCCACCTTAACATCCTTCCTCACTTTACAAACCTAATTGATACAGGTGGGCCTATAGTGCTACCCCAAAACTTGCCTTCTATCATCAAAGAGAAAAAACAACTGGTCTAATCCAGAATCGACTACATTTTTACTACGATTGAACACGAAATGTTCACGTGTCATATTCCGATCAACAGGCAAGCAAAGCACGAATTACTGTAAGTTAATTTGAATTAAAAGCTTTACAATAAGCCGACGAAAAACGTATGATGGTCATAAGTAAAAGTTCTTGTTTTTGTCTTTTTCGCTACAACTTTTATCATTCTAATTAATTCCCTAGCCATTTTGAAGTAGAGCAGGCAGGGGTTTTCTTTCTCTCTATTTTAGTTCCTCTTCTCTTTTGCATTCAATTTTATGCTATTTTTGCAGTTTATCTCCAAATTTTATTATTAACTCTATTAAATCAAAATCTGGTTTTCTGCCTCCTTATTAAACCTTGCAATCTACCTTCTCTGTAAACTTTTTTAATAATTCAATTTCGTTTAATATAATCGGGAATTTACCACAGCCCATAATATTCCCCATATATAGTTAGAATCGAGAAGTTACCTGCCAGGTCACACAATCCGACAGCCGATAAATAAAACCAACTAATAATATTCTTAGGTTTTATGTGATGTATCGGTGCTTTATTATAATCTTTTTCAACATATGCAGTTGCTATTGCCTCTTTACTCCATCTAATATCTATATTTACAGGCTTGAATAAGACATTTGCTGGTCTAAACATATTTATGGAGTACTTGAGAGATGAATAAAGAACATATAAATAGTGATGAGAAAGGGGTAATTGTACAGACTAAAATCTATTTCATTCTAATAATAACCCTGAATTCGTACGACTTGACAGGTTGTGTGACTTGGCAATAACAAATGCACGTAAACATATTCTGACTATTTCTTCATAGGCTCAAAAAAAGCGGTTATGTATTTCTAATACAGAATTCAAATTTAAGTATTGTAAACCATTTCCAAGTACCATAAAAATCTAATTCGATACTTTTGAAATTACAAGTGCGTCTCGATATAACGACACTGCTATATAACCACTCGTTATACATAGGCAGACTCGATAAGTCGGTCCCTTGACAGCCCTTTTTTTCAATATTTAAAATCTCTCGATAATTCCGAATTTTGATAATCTTGAATTATTTATACTATATAGGTCATACCGATATGGCATAACGTTTAAGGCCTTACCATCAGTATATCAATATGAAAAATCGCGATAAGCTGTAGGTCGCGTGATATTGGAGAGTATTATTACTATTTGGAAAAAAAATTAAAAACACTCAATAATTTTAAAAAAAAGCTTCGTGAGTACTAAAACGGGAATTGGAATGAATTATTCAAAACAAACTACCTTGCTATTATCAAATTAGTCGATAAGTCGGTCTCTCTCGATAAGTCGGTCCACCGAGCCAGCCCATTTGAGACCGACTTATCGAGTCTGCCTATGTACTGACAAAAATCATGATGTAAGCTTATTTTAACGACAGTTTGTTGTACACAAATTTGAGCGACACACATTTCCTTTTTGTTTATTAAGCTCTCCCATTTTAAGTTTTCATTAATATTATCTCATTCGTCTGCTTAAGCATAAGAAATGTCACGGTTAATGCCGACAAAAAGGAAAAATAAATCTTACCGGCATTCAAAAAAAACGAACCCGCGACACCACAACAACAGCTGGTAATGACGCTTGAGTTTTAACAGTTGCCAACCGTATCAAATTTACCCAATAAAATTGAAAATTTTTTTGTATAACGACAATTGGTTGAACTTGCTTGTTGCCGTTATCAAGTTAATTTTCGATATAAGGACATTTTCGAGATAACGACCATTTATGTTGGAACCGAGCGTGTCGTTATATATCGAGACGCACTTGTAATTATGCAACATTTTCGGAACGGCTTGCAATATAATGCTCGTAAAGAAATTTTGCTGACGAGTTAGGAAAATTAGAAACAGTTTAGTAATACGATTGTAATCCACATGGAGAAATTTTTTCACAGCGGTAGCAACGGATTATTTCAAAAGTGCAAAAAAAAGTATCGAGACTCGTAAAAAGTTCTTTATTTGTACGCGTTTTTTCGAAAAGTACAGTCAATTATCTTCACGTAATTCGACAAAATTTTCTCTCACAATCTCCAAGAAACGCATGGCTTTTTCATAGTCGTAAAACCATCATATTCATTATTTTTCATATACAGGTACTCCTACATATGTTTTATTACTTTATTTTTTTCTTAACGCATTATGTTACAAAGTATCTTTTCACTTTCACTCTAATCTTTTTCTTTACCAAGAAAGGCTAGACAACTATACTACATTGTTCATATCAATAATCCGGAAAGAATCATCAAACAAGTTCAAAGCCATATCGAGGCAGAGAGCTGACATCCCTTAGACGAATATCCACGCCGATTACCGTATTCCGTCATGCTTTTGGCCTCTGAGATAACACGATAGAACAGCCGACGACGGATGATGACACTCACCAGGACAAAAGCGATTTTGTCACCCAGCCAATACTACTGTCGCTGAACTTTGGAGTCTTGCCGCTTGGGTGAGCGATACTCTGTTATTCGGTATATTTGTCAGCTCGGTGAATGTGGCACTAATACCCTCCATTTCGCATACTTGATAAAATGCCATGAGCACACCCAAGACGGTACAAGCCTCTGTCTAAAACTTCTAGGACCTTACAGGGGAGTGATCTTCTGTCTACCCTTGTTTTGTCTATTCATTCGAACACAGTCGCCGACATCGACGTTTCTTGTTTTCTCATCCAAAAGATTTTCATCAAGTCCATATTGCGCTGAACTTGTTGGACCGCCAACTCACGTAATGCGCGCCTTGTTATTGTCTCATCTATCCATAATAAAGGCGTTATTTGGGATGGTTAGTCGAATAATTGGGAAAATGCAACACAATCTATACTCGTAAATTGAGAATAACATAATTCCCTAACCATCGACCTCAACACAGACAGTATTTTCTCCGATACTCACATTCTCTCTTTCACTCTAAATTATGTTTTTATTAGTAATCATGCAGAATGCATTACTTTGACTGCTACTTGACACTTACGTCTCGTTCTCCATAATCTCCCGTAGACTGCTCAACCTCAGCAGTTATATTCTCGCATACTGCTCTCTCTCCGTTATCTTCGACAGATTGATCTGACCATGCTATCAGGCAACTCCTCTTCATCGTGAATCCCTAGACTGAACAACATGTCAATCAAAGCTAAATTACTCCGTGGAGGTTGTCCATACACCAACTGGTAAGGCGTTTGTTTAGTAGCAGTACACACTTGTGTATTGATTGCCCCTACAGCATAAATTATATATAAATTAAATGATGCCAAATACTAATGATGTCTATTGCTTTACACCTCTTGCAGATCACAAAAGGCAATCCTATACTCCAATCGCTTCTTCCATTCTCCTCGAGCCATGATGACAGCTTCACTTCTAATACGTCATTTCCTTTCTCAATTAATCCCTGCGATTGGGGGTGGCGTGGCCTACCATTGATTATTTTGGAAGCGCAACTATTTCTTTTATTATAGACGCCACGAATTCTTTCCCATTGTCGAACTGTAAGATAGTCGGTGCACCAGATTGCGTGAAGATTTTTAATAGAAAGCCTGCCACGTATTTTGCTTCCTTGGTGGTAAGTGGGTAAGCCCGTAAAGTGATGCGCGATCTATTTATAGTCCACGTCTGGCCTTGTACGCATATCTATTAGATCAATCAATAATAAAATGCAAAATTTTTAATTAATACATTTGGGCTGAATTAACTTTGGCCGATTATTGTTATTACTTGTAGACGTGTCATAAATTCTAGTGCAAGTATTGACCGTATAGTGGATGGTACACGCATTAACGAATTTTGTACTACAACACGCTATATTGAGCAACAAATTAAAGAATTTATGTACGTTAATTAAGTAATCATAGACATCGACACTTTAGTTTAACTTTCCAACCCACAGCTTTGTATGTTTTATGATAGCCTGCGTGTTGCAATTCTTGATGCAATCGCCCGATAACATTATACAAGTCATTCTTTGGACAAACGACTTTTAATGACTTTTTGTCTACTAGTGTATAGTGTTATTCTATCTCCAAGGTCGAGAAATGTTTGCGTGATCAATAGCGTAAGTTACTATCACTTGTAGACTCTTCATTAATAAAATTGGCTTGATCTTATCGGCAAGCTCCTGTGTAATTAATAAAGCCTTTGCTTGACGGTTCGACGGCAACGACTCAATGTACTCATCAGAGACAAAACTGAACATGATTTTAGGATATCGTTAATTGGAGAGTAAGTAATAAAGTTGCAAGCGACTTAACAATTTGACGGGTCCATTGGCCATTATTTATAAACTTTTCTTCATAATCAAGCAAAACAACAACAAAATAGCACGAAACAACCTGCTTACATTTCGCATAGCGATTACGCGATTTTATTTTATTTTCTGAGAATGTCTTTTGGAAATGTCACGAGTGACTTATGTACGTGGGGCGTTCAATAAGTTTTTGCCGCGGGCCTTGCATTTTACAGGCTGAAAATCTGAGACAAATTGACGCT